ATTCCGATATTCTGCAAAATCTAAGGATTTGCAGCTTCCATGAAATATGTCATTTAGGGTCTTAATTGCCACTTTATGTTATTTTGGTGACATAACCGCCTTGAATTTCACATTACTCATTCCCAGCCCATCCATATTCAGTGATACTTGTTGTTTACCACCTAATGGGTATAAATGGATAAACAATTCCATATTACCGACTACTAGGATTTTATTCAGAAGCTTTGAAGAAATATTTCGTGTTAGCACCATTCTTGCTTCCTTCTTCGTCATACGCTGATCTATTCGTCACTTATGATCATTTTCCAATATCGGGCTATTCCCAGGATTGGCCAGCATTTTGCAAACACTACTGTGGAAACTAAATGGTAAAATATCAGAAAATAGCACTTGACTAGTATATGCAGCAATTATTTAATTGTTCTGTATATTTATACCGATTACATTTCATCTCGAAAGCATTTACAATTCGTTTACAATGGATTACGCTCTGCTTTGTGAGGATAGGCGGCATATGAATCACAACTGTTATTAAAAATCCGAAGAAACTTGAATAGAAATTTAATTTCATACCAGCTGCTCCCTTTGCACCTTCAGCCACATCCGACGCACCTTGCTTCACTGAGCTTGCAGCGTTACCTGAATAAATTGTCATCAGTGTATTGTTTCAGGATGTCAGTTATGAATCATGCTCGAAATTTTCGGGACGATTATGTATTATGTCGGAGGTAGATTCCAAATTCTCGATGGACTTAGCCTAAAAATTTGCACCAGCCTAACAAAGAACCATATTCATCCCCGTGTGGTCTGGTGGCTAGGATTCATAACTTTCACTCACATGACTTTTACCCTAATCAACCGTCACAAGCGTTCTAACCAACCTGCTGCATCCGAAACTGCTGCACCGGCACTTTGCAAGCCTTCCTTAGCACTGTTCAAAGCATTTCCTTAAATTGGACTGGTAACATTGTGTAACAAAAAATAACGCAAAAATGTGAAGAATCCGAAAATGAACTCTTTTCCACCGCTGTGTACACTTTTTTGTAAGTGACCGTCAAAATCCGGAGATCGGCAAAAAAGCACAAATTTTATCGCTTTAAAAAGCTAATTTTTCATCTTCATGTAAGCTGAAGAATTTGTGAATTATCGCGTATGCAGTCAGATATGCAGAGTCGGAATATGAATTCGATTGCTCCTCACCACCCATCGTTGTGCTACTATTCCAGGAAACGTTTTTGAAGTGCTCAACAAAATTAGTGATCAACAGTGGAAAATGTACAGACATCGGTAAGACATTGAACGATCAATCAACGTCGATTAATCAAGTTGAAAATTTCGACTGAACGACCTGCTGAGTCCTTTGCTTCGCCAGCCTTATCGCCAACATAGCCGGCTGCACTTTTAACACCTTCCCCAACGGTGTTCGCTGCATCCTTGGCTCCTTCTCCAACAGTTTGCGCCGCTTCGCCTGAATAATAATGGTCAAATGCACACAAATTTCACGATCGAACGTTACTTCACTCACTCTAACAACGAGTTTTATTTGTTGAGTGATGTGCTCAAAGCCGTGTATCGCACGTGATACATTCATTAAATTGATCACTCAATCAGGTGGGCTCTTTTATAGACAATCATGGTGATGGAAGTTGCTGAAATGAAATTGTAAGAGCAATTGTAAATTTCTAATTTCTTACCAACTTTGCCAGCGGCTGCGCCAGCTGCATCTCCTATTACTGTGCCAGCTTCTTCTGAAAACAGCTCTTTCTAGAGGACCTTCGGTGGTATTTTTAAAATATTTTTCAGAAGAGAAGCTTGAAAAATTTTCGACTTCAACTACTCAGCTTGAATCTTTGAAATTCTAAATCTATAGCTCATCCTACTGCTTTATAATCAGTCGAAAAGCAATAAGATATGCCACATTCTGAAACTCCCATCCCTAGGAATTTTGATTCGAGTTTTGGCACTGCACTCAGTGAAATCGGTGTACATCAGAGAGCGATGGCATACGAAAGAAAACCACAGAATGACTTCCCTACTGTGGTTCGTCATTATGAAACTAGAATTCGCTGTAAGATCGGCTGAGGGACGGGGATGTGCTTTTCAATGCTCCTCCAGGAAGAGACTGGAAAATTTATCTTCGTATCAAGAATACTGCATACTTATTAAGATTGGTTTGAAGATGGGGAGGGAAAAAATCTCGTCCACTCCTCGCGGGGATGGGGACTGAAAAATCCGTTCTCTTAGCAACCCTAATTAGTTCAATGCTTTCACGAACAATCTAAAAATGTATAAGCAAACAAACTCACTTGCACCTCCGGTTACGGTATCCAACGCGTCCGACAAGAACGTCTTGGTCGCTTCAAACGCATTCGAGAAAATGTTCTTAAATGTGAAAATATTTTGCAACTCGACTCAGCAGAAATCGAAAGTAATAGGTGACTTATCACTGGAACATATATGATATGCTATCATTAACCACAAAATCGCATTGCTATCAACTCTGCATAATGGTGAAACACACAAACGGGATGGGTTGCATCGCTAATAGAAGGCATCCACTGAATGAATTCAAATAGGCTTTCAAATCAATTCGGAAGAAATTCTTTTTCATGTTCCTTCTAAACATACGAAAACCTCATTTCCTCATCAATTTAGATAGTTTCCAACTATATACTCACGCTTCATTTGATTCCTCAACAATAGTTGATAGATCAGTTCAAATGTGAATGCGTGATTCACGTTGAAGATAAATTCCTTTAAAGATAAATTCTATGGGTCTCTACTGTAATTATGGGTCTGTACTGTAATTATGAATGTGTAAATGCTGTAAACAGAGAACACTGTCGGTAATGAATGAATACACGGTTACTTTACTAGGTGCCCAACGACTTCATTAACGAATAAACAAGCAGTACTCACGTCTGATTCACTTTCTGCAGGACGAGCATACACCAACGAAGCCAACAAAACAATTGCGATTGCGCAGCGTTTCAACATCTTGATCAGGCTACAAATTGTTGTCAATGTATACAAAATTCAACTGTCAAATGAAATTCGAGAACCGAGCGGACAAGCAAACAATGGAGTATGGCAAAGTTTCACAACTGACAAAAGATTGCTAACTAATTATATGTTGCGGCCTAGCAACAAGCGACCATAAAACATGGAACATAAATGACCCGAGTGCGATAAGAGAAAGTTTCAGATTTGTTCCATTTCAGCTTATTAGCAAACGAGTTACCGTAGCATTCAAACGGCTATATTCCGTGAATAATGTGTGATCACATTCAGTCAATGCAGAACAACAGTTAATTCGATTAATTACTGACATCAAAATGATGAACTCAGACTTACAGAAGAGCTCACTATCAGGTAAACTCGCAAGCTCAGTGGCGCATTTTTAGGAGACAATTCATGAGATGCAAACTTTGGAAATCACAAAATTCAACTATTTGGATCGAGAGAAAGCAGTTTTCAAATTCAGTCATAAAAATCAGAAAATCTTCGAATAGATTTTGAGTGGACATAGTGGTCTGCGTTAGCAGTATTCATTCACAAGTCCACGAAGACAACTAAATGCAAAAGTGGTTCGTCTTTGACACTTATACTCGCGAAGAACCAACTAATTCTCAAGAGATATTCGCTGTAGCAAAAGCGGCGGCACCGCACAACTGATCGGCTCTTGACAACCAAGGGAGTTTCCAACTTCCGTTGTATAGTGGGTTTGCAGTGTTTAGTGGCATTTCCTTCATTTTCGGTTCACAACAAGCTGACGCGGTGATTAGCAGCGTGATAATGCAATCAGAGTGGATATAGACGTCTTGGACGAGAGGGTGAGGGTATCATGGGAGCTGATGAATAACAAAACAACAAAAGCAGCATTACTCGTAAACACCCATCCAAATAGTGTGTTTGTTTCTTATGAGAGCTTTATTTTGCTTCACTTCACTTATCGATAACGACATTTGTCTATTCCCTCTGAATGTTCATCAGGGTTTATCAGTTGAACACAAACAAACATATAATCTTTAACTCAGCATCATAACGAATTATTAGGGCTGTCA